AAAAAAATATATATATATATAAAATACAACAAAAAAACCCCCAAAAACCCCCTACTGAGCTGTTTGAACAAAAGTATAGTCTGCAAGCTATCAAGCTAAGAAGTTGCCCTTTAGTTCAATCCATCATTGCCAAAAGCTCAGCTAGAGTAGTGTGTTCAGGGTTTTTTTGTCATTTATTTTTCATTTTTTTAATTTCCTTTCCCTATCTTTCTCTGTTAATGTCTATGATTTACTTTCATTAGAAATATCTGCTGAAACTCATTGCTCCATTCTTACCAAGAAGGATACAGTGTTCGAGAAATGCCATGCTGTGGTGAACCCTACTCCTTTCTACAAGGTAGGAAATTACGATAGATGTGTACAGAGGGAGTCCAAATATGGCCCAGAATGTACTCATATGGAGTATCCCACTCATTTGGATCAGCAATGCATGGAAGCTAAGGAACAAGTGTGGTTTTGAAAATTGTGTCTCCACCACACTAAAAGTCTGTTTGTTCAGAGGCACCAGTCCCATCCCTATGAATCAGAAAGTATTTTTGTTCCTGCTGCAGTTCTCCATGTTGACAACTGTAACTATGCAAAGTACTGATTTTCCCATGTGCATAACTGAGCTCATTATATTTGCCAATCTCCACAAAACATTTTGAAAATTAAAAATGAAAAGCAGCAAATAAACAAAGGCATTTTTTAGGTACTAAGTATACTTTATTCATGTAATTCAGGCAATTAATCTGATCTTTTCCATCAGTTTTATTTATGCAATAATATGTATTTTGCATGACCTACCTCTGCAATTCAGCACAGAATCATAGACTTGTAGAATCATTTAGGTTGGAAAAGACCTTTCAGATTATCCAGTCCAACCGTAAACCTAACGCTACCAAGTCCACCACTAAACCACATCCTTAAGCACCACATCTGCACATCTTTTAAATACCTCCAGGGTTTAGCACTTGTAAATGTCTTCTCCCCAGTAACAGAGTACTCTCCATATATTGGGTTTCAGAGATGTGTCTACCAAGCCTGCAATTACGAAGAGACCTTTCCTTATATTTGTTCTGCGCTGGGATCGTATGCGCGAACATGCAGTTCAATGGGTTTAATCCTCGAGAACTGGAGAAACAGTATGGATAATTGTAGTAAGTAACTGAACCAACTCTTAATAGTCTGCCATCAGATAAATACATGCATACAAGTCTATCTGTTTTCATTTAGAATATTCCCATGTTTGATTCACCTATGACAAAACTGAATAAGAACAAAAATATATATTAAAACTACTTGTCAGTCATTAGAAAATAGCTACTTATTGCTCAAGCAGGCCAACCAGCAGGTATCAAAGCCATATTCCCAGGAGCTGCTGACTTCACAGATGTGTCATAATACAACAGAAAAACGTAAATGGTAAACCAGTATTCTAAGCAGTGTCCAAACAATCTTAAGAGTAATGAGGAAAGTACTGAACAGAAAGAAGAGGAAAGCAGAAATGGGATAACAGATATCCAATTTTTGAGCACCTTTCTAGTCTGTTTCAGAAAAGTATTGTTAAGACTACATGAAAAAGATTACTCATATGCTTTAAAGGGAGCATGTGGATGCTGCCAGCACTTGATCATTAAGTGATGGAACAGACAGATAAATAAAGCTATACTGCAACTCCGGTTGCAGATGTGATTTTGCTATTATGCAACCTAGACATAGGCACAGGTTTCACAGTTACTCAAAAATATATTGGTATTTCTGCAGAGCTTCTCTTTCCATTATTTTATTCCAAGATAAAGAAGCAATAAGATATTTTTAACTGTCACAAAACTTCCAAACAGCTAATGGTTAGTGTTAAGCCCTGCTCTGCAATATTTTTTGCTGGAGCTCCACCTCCACAGGAAGAGAAGCATTAAGCATTGACGCTGTTGACACAATCTGTGTAGCACATTATGAGCACAGTTTTCACAAGGAAGAGGATAAGTAAATGAAGCTTAATGTCTTGTTTTATAGCCATTACTTGTACGGGCAATCAAACATTCAGCTACAACACTCAGGCATGTGACAGGACATGTTTGTCACTCTCCAACCGAGACCTGGAATGTCATCCAACTGACATCCCTATTGAAGGCTGCAATTGTCCTCAAGGATTGTACTTGAACCACAAGAACGAGTGTGTTCGTAAATCTCATTGTCCCTGCTATTTAGAAGATAGAAAGTACATCTTGCCTGACCAGTCCATAATGACTGGTGGGATTACCTGGTAAGTGTGTCAAGTTTAAAGATTAACAAACTGAACATAAAGAATGGGGGGTTTTCGTGTGTCTCTGTTGAGGGTTAACAGCAGTAAACAGCTAAGCAGCACACAGTCGCTTGCTCACTCTACTTCAGCTGGATGTGGAAGAGAATCGTAAGGGCAAAAGCAATAAAATTTGTGGGTTGAGATAAAGACAGTTTAATAACATTATTATTAATAAGCAAATAATAGCTTATTTTAATAAGCAAAGTGGCATGTGCAATCAAAGCTAAGTAAGGAATTAATTCACTACTTCCCATCAGCAGACAGATATTTAGACATTTCCAGGAAAGCATGATTTTGTCATGCATAATGGTTACTTGGGAATACAAGTGTCATAATCCCTCTTTCATCCTTCTTTACCTGAGCTTTTATTGATGACCATGATGTTGTACAGTATGGAATATCTCTTTGGTCAGTTGGGGTCAGCTGTCCTGGCTGTGTCCCCCCCCAAAGCTTCTTGTGAACCCCCAGCTTACTTGCTGGTAGGGCAGTGTGAGAAGCAGAGATGGCCTTGACACTGTTCAGCAATAGGTAAAACAATGTCGTGTTATCAACACTGTTTTGGTCACAAATCCAAAACATAGCGCCATTGAGCTTCTGTGAAGAAAATTGACTTCATTCCAGGCAAAACCAGTACAGTCTCCTTTACTTTTCATAGCAAAGGTTTATTTTTTAAGACATCTTTTTTTTGCTCTTTCCTAAAATACAAAGGTTCTTAAACAAACCAAAAGCATTTGACTTACCGTAAGCTTGGAAATGTCAAGTGAAAAAAATCAGAAAATAATAGGTAAGATCTGTTTATTCCTAGAAAGATATTTTGTCACCAGCACCTGAACAGCTATATACAAACCTGAAGAATGACTTGACAGGCCATCGTAATGGTGAATGGCCTCCTGTTCACTTTCAATACTGATGTTACTGTATACTACAAAAAAATAAAGAGATGCAAGTTGACTCACATTCCATTGAAGAGGATGGGGAGGAGCTGGTAACATAAATGAATCATTTCCAATGGTGAGAAACATGGAGCCGTTTTGCAAAAAATTAATTTCTAAGGAGAGAATTGAAATTCCTTTTTTCTCCCCCTGCTCTAGCTACTGTGTTAATGGGAGGCTGAGTTGCACAGGCAAACCTCAAAATCTTGCAGGTATGATTCTGATATGGTTTATTTAGAAACATATTATTTTCCCGTGTTGTAAAATCACTACTTCATACTCTCTCCAATGTTTGGGTTTTTTTCCTTTTTCCTAGAAAGCTGCAAAGCTCCTAAGAAATATGTATCATGTTCTAACAGTTTAGAAAACAAGTATGGAGCTGCATGTGCCCCTACCTGTCAGATGCTGGCTACTGGAATTGAATGCGTGAGTTTTACGGCTCTGGGATATTTATCCTCTTGAGAGAGGAAGGATGTTCTAGTTGTTACTTAGGACTTGACTACGTTCCTTTCAGTGAAGTGAAAGGAGATATTTCTTCTAACAGGATACAGTTAAACATCAAACTTTGTCCCATAGACTGTGGACACTTAAAATTTTGCATACATTCAAGAAGTGATTAAAGGAATTAAATTGCATGAATTAATTAATTCTCTTAAGTGAATAAAATAAAAATCCATTAAGGATTCTTAACTACATGGCTATCGCCTCTGGCTCAGGTACTCCATAAGCTGCATGTCACTGGAAAGTGATAGAAAACGTGGTTTATGCTTCCTCTTCTATTCTTTCCCAACTGTCTGCTACTGATGGTCACAGGATGCAGGAGACCTAGGCTAGGTGGGCTTCTGGTCTGTCCTGGTAGGGTTTTCTTATGCCTTTATTTAAGGACACAGGCTAATTGGAAGAATTGTAATAAGCTTCCTTGATATAAAGACATTTCTGTTGTACTCTGAAAGATTGATAGCAATGAAAGATAAATTTTTCAGAGTCTTCATTATGTTTAATATCTCACACAACAGGTATGTCTTACAACTTTGGTGAAACTAGTTCAATTGACTAATTGACTAGTACATTAGTACGAGGAAAATCACAAAACCAAAATCAAATCAAAACTAGAACTTAGCAGAGGTTTGTTCTTGACACCATTCACATACAAGATAAAATGCATCTCATGTTTCTCTTCATTTTGCAATCTGTTGCTCTGCACCAGATCCCCACTAAATGTGAATCAGGCTGTGTCTGTGCTGATGGGCTGTATGAAAATCTCGATGGCGGGTGTGTTCCAGCTGAGGAGTGTCCATGTGAATATGGTGGTCTTGCCTATCGAAAAGGGGAACAGATCCAAACTGAATGTGAGATCTGGTAAGAATCCCCCAAAAGATTGTTTCCATCTCTTTAGCAGCATTCTCAAAGTACTTTATTCCCTTTACCAGTTACTAATCTAGAATTAAAAAACCACCACCACCCAAACCACCCAGAACAGCAACTTCTGTTCTCATTAAGAGAGAAAAGAAAAAAAAAAAAAAGTTGTGTATTCTTTCTTTCATGAAAAAAGAAAGCAAAAACTACTTATGATTTCTTCTTTATCATGAATTAATTTTCTAGGCAGTACATAACTTTTAGTTATGGTTCCTATATTCATTTTAACTTGGTCACAGTGTATACTAGTCAATTAAATAATTAAGTCAATTTAATCATTAAGTCAATTAAAGTCAGCTTATCTATAAAAGTGCATGTATATGAAAACAGACAGGTTAAGGTGGCTTCTCTTTGAAATCCAAATATGGTTTCTCTTCTCATTCTCAGCACTTGCACAAAAGGAAAATGGAAATGTGTTCAGAAATCAAAGTGTTCCTCAACATGTAATCTGTATGGTGAAGGCCACATCACCACTTTTGATGGACAGCGTTTTGTGTTTGATGGCAACTGTGAATACATATTAGCTACGGTAATCTGCCTCTTACTGCTTATTTTGGCAGTCTTAACATCAACAAATATCTTGATTTAAACAGCTAATTAAAATATCCTAGGATGCAGCTATAACCAATAGAGCACTGTGAATCTTCATAAACACTCAAGGTGTTTTTATATTTTCTGCTTATTTCAACACTTAAGATTAAAAGACTTCTCAAACCACAATTCTTTCATGCAATTACAACCAATTTTAGATTTAATAACATGTTTAAATAGTCATTGATATGTATGCATTCTGTACCAGCCAACTTCATCTTTTAGGAAAGTGATGTCAATTTGACTACCAAATCAGAGGTCATCACCTCCCAAAACACGCAGAATCAGAGTTGTGACGTGTTTAAGCTTTCTTTACTTTTTTATGCTTTTATGTTTTTAGTTGGAAGACTCCAGACACAGAATCTATTGTAGTTTTGTGCTTTTTGTGGTTTGTTTTGGTTTTTATAGGATGGCTGCAGTGTTAAAAGACCTGTTTCCTCTTTCAAAATTGTTACTGAGAATGTCATCTGTGGGAAATCAGGGGTTACGTGCTCCAGATCCATCAGCATTTACCTTGGGGTAAGATATTCATTCTGCTGTTATCCAGCGGAGTAACTATTTTAAGCCCATGTTTGTTTCACTTTTGGAAGCTGTAGCTGTGTCTTTGAATTGCTTGTAAGTGAAATTTATGTGCTAAACCTAGAGCTCCAGTTTTATTTGGAGTTGCCATCAGTTTTTTTTCAATACTCATGCCAATGTTTCAGTCCCCAAACTTCTTGCCTATGTAGAAGCCATAAAATTTTGAACTTTACTGATTCAGCAGTGAATTGCTTGGTCAAGTGATACTGGTTTCCCCTCCCACCCCACCTCCACCCCCTGCCAAACTCTAGGAAAAAATAGTATAACATTGAGGAATTCTCATCATGGATGATGAACAAAATCTCTCTGAATTTCTCCAAGTCCAGGTAGTATATGCAATTCAGAATATATCCAGATCTTACCTGAGATATATCTGTGAAACTGCAGTAATGAGGAGTTATCCTAATTTCCACTGATGTGTGACAGCTTACAGAATTTGATAAGTTTTACTGTTCTCAGTTCTATGGGACAGTAATGCCGAGTAGTATCAGATTGTCTTAGAGCCTGTCATTACCTGATAGAGAGAAAAATATGGACAGTTAAGATTTTATCCCAAGGAACAGTCGCTACAAGCAGTAGACACTTAGCACATTTCTAACTAAATACTGGCAGTTCCAGCTGGTCAGTGCCGTGGTGGAAATGTTTGTTTGCTTAGGATCCAGTTTCATAAATGCATGCTGCAGCCAAAGCTTTCTGTTCATTATCTAGACAATGAAACACGGCAGTATGACAGGAGTAAAGCTGTAAGGGTACACATGAGAGCGGGAGATAGTAAAAGAGCTCAAGACAGAGAGCTGTTTTCTCTAACTTTTTGATTATTCTTAGGAACACATGAAAACATACTGCCTCTACTCTGCTGGCTGCATGTAAATTACGATATTATTTCCACCAAATGCAGTCAGAAGTCCAGACATCCATAGCTCTTCCCCGTGTCCACTGACATAGTCACTCCATCAGAGGGGCCACTAGGTTGGTCTTGCTTTTGGTGAAGCCATGCTGGCTGTCTCGAATCACCTCCCTGTCCTCCATGTGCCTTAACATGGCTTCTTCATCTGTTCCATGATCTTCCCAGGCCCAGGGGTGAGGCTGACAGTTTGATAGTTCCCAGGGTCCTCCTTTCTGCCCTTTTTAAAAATGGGTGCAATATTTCCCCTTTTCCAGTCTGAAAGGGCTTCACCTGACCGTTGTGACTTTTCAAAAATAGGTGGGAATGTTAAGACAGTCTGTAGTAGTACAGCATCTGATCTTCAGTAGTGTCACAGAGTAAGGAAAATACTGAAACTTGGTAAGTTATAACATCCAGATAAATTTTCTTCCAGAATTTGACAATCATACTGCGAGATGAAACCTTCACTGTTTCTGGGGAAAATCCTGGAGTACGATATAACGTGAAAAAGAATGCCCTTCACCTGATGTTTGATATCATTATCCCAGGAAAATACAACATGACCCTCATCTGGAATAAGCACATGAACTTCTTCATCAAGATCTCCAGAGAAACACAGGTATTGCAGAATAACTTCCTCAGTGAACTGTCCTTCAATTCACATTGAACTGCCCATTTGATGACGGTTGCCTTGACTCTCTATAATGGCAAATGTTTTTCAGCGATGCTTCTAGCAATGCATTTTTATAATTATCTCCAGAACAGCGAAGATTTCACTAGAGGTTGATTTTTAAGTGATTACCCTACTGCATTCAGGAAATTTTTGAGCTAAGTGCTTGTATTTTACACAACTGCATGGTTGAATTTGATCAATGATGACAGCTTAGAGTAGAAACGCATTCATCCACAAGAAACTAAGTATATATGAGAGGGTATTTGTAGATGACATTCACTGGTAAAGAACGGGAAACTCAGTTATCAAAAGGTAGAGTAAGTAATTGTAACTGGCTGAACTGACATTGCTGCTTTCATTTAATATAGGAAACTATATGCGGTTTGTGTGGGAACTATAATGGCAATATGAAGGATGATTTTGAAACTCGAAGCAAGTATGTGGCATCAAATGAATTGGAATTTGTCAATTCTTGGAAAGAGAATCCTCTCTGCGGGGATGTTTACTTTGTAGTGGACCCCTGTAGCAAGAACCCTTACCGTAAAGCATGGGCAGAAAAGACGTGTTCCGTCATCAACAGCCAAGTCTTTTCTGCCTGTCACAATAAGGTAAGAATTGATTTGGCCTTCTTTTTATTTATAGGCATAATCTGTATTCTTGAAAAATTCTCACACTCCAACACTTTGTCTTCTCCAAAATATTTTAACAAAGTATATATTAGATGTTTTATGGCTCTCATTTATGTTAATCTTCATCCTTTCGTATTTGCACTTTACCAGCCCTTTTGGAAGCCCAAAAGCTAAGTATGGCATTAACTGATCAGTTAAAAATATCAGAGTGAAAAAAGAATGAAGTATCAGAAATTGGTCAGATTAATCAGTCTGTTGATGATGTATGATACTGATCAATGCACTTAGTCTTTGAAATAACTTAGCCTTTGTTAGAAAACTAAACTTAAAGGCCTGAACACGCTTGTTCTCATCAGTAAATCACCAGCATTACTTAGAAGATGCAGATCAGTCCGAGAGCAAGATACCATCAACCTTCTGATTTAAGTTGCCTGCTTTGTGGAAATGAAAATATTGCAAGGTTCATCAGAACCAGGCCTTCTGCAGGAAAACCTCTGTTTTAAGGAAGTGAAAACAAGTGAGAAATGTGGCTAATGCTGCAGTGTTCATGCATATCCATGGAGGGTGTACAGCTGAGGAACTTAGACCCTTGTGCCTGAATGGATGTGGGTGCTTGGGGTTTTTTTAGCTGACTATAGATAATATGTTCAGGACTAGTATGAATTTAGAAATACATATCTGGCAAAACATCATCAGTTTCTGTTGTTGATGTGGAGACACCTACATTCTTGCTAAAAAGATTTATATGAAGCGGGATTGTAATTGCTTTGATAAGTGTTCAGAGGTATACTAGTTCCTCTCACTTAATGGAACACGTATTGTTTAGCTCAGGGAAAACGCCTTCTTAACAAATAGGCACAAAAGAATCCTAGAAAATTTTTGTTTTCCAATGCAGGTGAATCGTATGCCCTATTATGAGGCCTGTGTTAGAGACTCTTGTGGGTGTGACATTGGAGGTGACTGTGAGTGCATGTGCGATGCCATTGCAGTATATGCCATGGCATGCCTAGATAAAGGTATCTGCATCGACTGGAGGACCCCTGAGTTCTGTCGTAAGTTTCTTTAAGCTCTCTTTAAACAGGTTTAAGAGATTATTATTGTTACTGTATATTAATATGGCAATATAGGTAACTGCCTAATAAGCACCTTGTAAGTTGCATTTTCTCTATGGGAAAATTGTTGATTTCAGTCACCTGGATTTTGAAATCTGTAGTTTTCATCTGTGCTAAGTTAAACAAAATACTACAGCTCTTTTTATGATGGAGCAATGAGAAAATAATATGGTCACAGAAGGCAGCCTGTTTCTTCTGCTGACACTCTATAGTGAACTGTCAGTTTGTCAGCAGAGGGAGTATGAAATAGTGAAAAAAAAAAACCACCCCATGTTTAATTTTAACTATGATTAACTCACCTTCTGTGTGGATGTCAAGGAAATAAAGACAGATGTATTGACTGGAATGCTATAAAACAGGAAAAAGATGTCAAGGTGTTCCAGAACACTGAAGGAAAAAAGCGGATGAGTATGTTATAAATCAGTGAGACAGTTGTCATCTTTGATGGTTTCTTTTCAACATTTCACTATATTATGCATTAGAAATTGTGGAAATGCCTGCATAGTGCATTTGCAAGAAAGAACCTGCCTTCACTGGACCATAAATTTCAATTGACAACAGAAGCTATTAACTTCAGTGGCAAAATCTTCTCTTCAAACTGTTTATTGATTTTGTCCTCCCTTTAGTCCTTTGTAAATAACATACTGTTAATTTGAAAAATTGTGATTTCTCTCTTGCTTCTACCTTTTTCAGCTGTCTATTGTGAATATTACAATTCTCATAAAAAAACAGGAAGCAGTGATACTTATTCCTATGGCTCCCACAATGATGACTGCACCTGGCATTACAGACCTTGTAATTGTCCAAATCAAAACTACAAATATGTCAACATTGAAGGTAATAAACATGTAGGATCCTAGTGTAAACCAGGAAACAGTAACACGGTAATTATTTTCAATGCTGTTTTTAAAATCAGTCATACCGCAGTTAAATAATAGTATTCGAATTGATGCTATCTTTGAAGCAGTTTTGCTGATCTTTACGTTACTGCTACTGCTTTAAATACGTAATCAATTCAGTACCTGTACTACATCTAACTTTGAGCTCTTGAGGAGAACTTGCACCAAATCAAAAGAATATACTGTACTTAGGTAAGAAAACATGTGGAGAGAGCAGTTAATATTTTTAGACAAATGGATAAGGTTGGAGAAACCAAAAAGCTTACTACATAGGCAGAGCCTTCTTCTGAGGATGACATTGGAAATACTTACCTGAATAGATGATGTTGCAATCAATACATTTTTTTAAAAACAGAAATGTAAGGTATTAGATTATAAATAGTATCAATTAAATGCTGTTCTCTGAGAAATGTGAAACACACTTCTCTTCCCCTTTCTTCAGGCTGTTACAACTGCTCTCATGATGAATACTTTGACCATGAGAAGGAAAGATGCATGCCATGCGGTAAGCAGTGACCTGTATACTCATTCTCTACAGTAACTGGAAAACAATACTAAAACATTTGTATATTCTCAAACAAGGTATTTTTTATCTCAGTTAATAATGAGTGTTCATCCAAACATAGCTTTCCTTCAAAGTAACCCTATTGCTGTACTGCTAGTATGTAAAACTTCATGTCATAAAGAAAGAAATTAAAATAACTAATTTTAAAAAAGGACTAGGGTAGGGAATGCTACAGTACAGAAGCTGGAGGACCCTGACTGATTTGGGTTGATTTGGACTAGGTATAATGAAGAAACTTTTTGTAATAAGTGGCGAAACACTGGCACAGGTTGCCCAGAGAGGTTGTAAATGCCCCATCCCTGGAAACATTCAAGGTCACGCTGCATGGGGCTTTGATCAACCTGGTCTATTTGAAGATATCCCTGCTCATTGCAGGGGGGGGTTGAACTAAATGACCTCTTAAGGTCCCTTCCAACCCAAACCATTCCATGACATAAAAAATCCCACAAAAATTTAATCACAGTTCTTCATGGCGACTGGCCATATAACACTTCAACAATTTAAGAAGGTCTTCATGGAAATGTATGACTGAGTATACCACACCCCTGTAGCCTGATCCAGGAAAAAGGGATCTATATATACTGATCATAAATTTGTTAGAAATGCCATTGATTTCCCTAAACACAGATGATAGTGAGAAAACGTTACACTGTCGGCTGTATGAATAATAAAATACAATTCCATCTCTGCTGCTATGCACAAGTATTTATGCCAAATTCATTTTAAAGTGATGAAGAAAAATGTATAAAGCTTCTGCAAGAATTCCTATTTGGTATTCACTGCACATAATGGCAAAGGAATAGATGGATAATTTCTCTCAAATATTTCATCCAAAAGGTAATGGTTTTTAATAATTGCTACTATGAATAGTTATTAAGAAAATGTTTTTACTTCAAAAATATTTTTAATTTATATACACATATTACAAATATATTATCAAGAACTATTTCTTATCCTTTAATTTTGATTTTTTTCTCTTAGCAGCAACAACGCAGCCTGAAGTAACGAGAAGCCCTGCCACAAGTACCCTACCAACAGCACCTAGTATTTCTGCTTCTGCAGCTACTACACCAACTGAGTCTACAAATCCAACAATCACCTCAAAAATCACAGTTACAAGAGCTTCATCAGCATCACCTCTTGTCACAATAAAGTCAACGACTGGTAGGTTTTTAGTGTTACATTCTAAAGTAAATCGTAGTAATCCCACTCTATACATAGTTGAGATATCACTCTACTAGGAAAGCACTGCATGCTGTCTCCAGATGCAAGTGTAAGACTCCAAATCATGAAGCAGGCAAAGCAGGCTTCCAGAAAGGAGTTTGTAAACCAGAAATGTTCAGAAGTGTAGATTGAAAGTGCATGGAAAGAGAAATTATATAGACACTAGGTTAAAAATACAATCAAAAATCGCTAGTGTGACTCATTTGAGAAGCACATTAGAAGTTCTGTAAGCAGTGAGCCAGATCAGTTCCAGATGGATTTATTAGCTCAGCTTCAACCTCGTTTCCACAACTGGTTCAGTTATGCAATCATATTCGAGGAGCACCCAACCTATTAACTCAGAATAACATAAGAAGGCTCCAAAGCAGAATCATACAGGTATCAGTACAGCAGCTTTGTCTAGGATTCTAGAGTCCTGCTCTAGGAGGATGACTTCTCCAACATAAATTACTTTCTGATTCTATGGCTTGTGGAAACTCATAATTAACTTCCCACCAACATGCACTTCAACTAATAAGCCATCCTGGACCCGGGCTAGTAGGGAAA